CGGGTCTGGGAGGTGTGCACTGGCACGAGACATCGCCGGCCTTAGGCTCCGCTGTGGGGACAGGTTGGTGTGATGGATAGAAGGGCAATGCGCGATTGTCAGTGGTGTGCACAGGTGAGAGGTGAGAAGTCTTTCAACGAGTCTTTGAGAGAAAGAGCAGTCAAATCGCAGAAGCATTTGTGCAGTGCAGTGTTATTTATGCAAAGTGTAAGTGTCTGTGAGACAGTGTTTACGTAATATTAATTATGGAGACAAATATGTAGTAAAAATACAAAACAAGAAAAAGTGTAATGATCTACCATCAAGCATAAAACTCTGATTATATAAAAATAGGAGAAATGTTACATTTGGTGCCATAATTACAAACTGGCCAACAGTTAGCTTTTACCTGTTTTTAATGACAAATATTCTTTTCTTTTATAACTCAAGCGATTTAATTTTGAAAAAAAAAGAATGTGTTCTATCAGCAGAGCTGCTACAACCGCTGTGCCTGTTTCACAGTAATGATCTCCCCACAGTTACCACGTGTAACGCCCCAGGGTGTGTGTATGTGGGCAACAACATGGAGAAAAATCCAGCGTTTTATCCAACTTGGGATGCTCCTAATTTGTGACAGTTCAGCTTCTGAATTATCTAAACAGCGAGCATTCTAGGGACAAAGTTTTCTTCTCTGTTCAGCAGTCTCTAAACGTGGAAGTGACTTGCCGTCTCTTCCTTGCAATGGTTTTCACGTAGAGAGATGGCATGTTTAACGTAATGCTCCTCTAAGAAGAAGTCTTCAAATTTAACAGAAATGGAATGCTGATGTTTGAATCTTTATCTTGCACTTTGACGCTTTGGAAACCCAGTGTGTCATATAGGAGTGTTCCCGCTGCCTTTAGTACACGCTGTGCCACCATCGTTTTGTTACCGCAAGCGCGCTGTCGCGGGCGGCCAGCGGCTACGCGGGCCGCGCATCCCAGCCGCAGAGGCTGCACGTGGCCCCCCCAGGACTGAGGCGGGCAGCAGTGCAGCTCAGATGAGACGGCCTCGCTTGGCAGTCATTTCCTGTTTCTTTTTTGTGACTGGGAAAGCGGAGGTGGTATTGTTGGGTCTGTTTCCTAATGTTTCGTAGTTTTGAGAATTCCAGACAAAACTGGGAAATACAAGCTTTAGGTTTAAAAACAGGGGAAGAGAAGGCAGTAGAGAAAACAGACTGCTGGTTGTCCGGCTCCTTCTTGGTCTGCAGGCAGAGAAGCATGATTTAGCAGCAAGTGAGTGGCTTTGTGCGTGAAGATCACGTATGCCACGTGGGTCTCGCGTCCAGGAGGAGCGGAGGCTCTGGAGTGAGTGGTTGTTCACTGGCAGCTGCAGGAGTGTGGTTAGTATGTGACGTGACAGTTAAGTGACTGACTTCCCGGAGACGGAGTGTCACGTGGGAAACTGTCTCCTGAGCCATGAAATAAATACGAGTTTCTTTCCCAGAGCGGAGGTGAAGTAGTGAGCTCAGGGTGGCGGCGTGTCATGCACACAGAGGGCATCTCATGTGTGGGATTTGCCTGGAGGTGACCAGCGTCCCAGGGGCGGGGGGAGTGGTGGTGTGTACCGGGTGGACCATCGTTGAACCCAGGTGATGGGTACATTGAGGAACAACTTTCAGGTTCATTCGCTCCCCTTCCCTGTGCTTATTTGGTTGAATTCGCAGTAAGTTAACTACTTCTGTGGTGACATCTGACCCTGTTGTTCCTGGCCCCAAGCTGCACGTGACAGCATCTTTTCCTCCCGAGACCCCCAGCTGAGAAGAGTGGTCAGCCACAGGGAGGCAGGGAAATGCGGGCCCTGTGGGGATGGTTAAACCCCGCCAAGAGTGCCAGTGGTGGGGGAGGACGGTGTTGCGGCGGGGAGTGGGGGGGCTCGGAGGAGCGCCTGGGAGCCAGGCTTTGCATGGAGGGCTCGAGGTGAAGCCCCTCCTCTGGGAGGAGGGGGACTGTGCATTTCTAAGAGCAAGGGCTTTCAGAATCTGATGGTCAAGGCACTCTCCACCCTGAATGTCTGGGGCGGCTCTTCACCTCCTCCTGGCTGAATGGGGATCTTAAAGTTATCAGGACCCCTTACATAAAGTATTTTAAGTTGCTCAGTGACTGTGAGCTGGAGGTAAAGGGCCACTCTCGTGGTTTGAGAGTTGGCGGAGTGGTGAGTTTTGTGAGGGCAGGGCACCCTGGTTCCAGTGGCTGCGCTGCATCTTGGCCTGGAGGCCGTGGCATGTTGCTTGGCCGTCCAGGATGTGTCTGCTGTGGAGGTGTGCACAGGCCCCAGGTGGCCCCGGGGGATGGGGTGGGCCAGCGCTCTGTGCCCCCGTGCGCTGCATGGCACCGCCCTCTGCGGACGGGAGAGGGGCCCTGCGGCAGCGTGGGTGGGGGGGCCTTCGCGTTACTCTCTGCTGCGGGTTGGCTGCTGGCCGCTCTGTCTCCAAGTGCTCCTTTGCTGGGAATTAAGAGCATGGACCAGAAATGACTTTAAAAGCCTTTATTGGCTCATGCTCTCCCCGTGAAAATAATGCCCCTTCTGAAGCCCAGGTGAGCAGCTCTGCTTGCAGCCCCGCCCAGCTCCGAAGGAGGGGCAGGTGTCATCTCCACCTCGCAGGGGACAGACTCCGAGAGGTCCGCGCGCTGCTGGTAAGCAGGTTAGAACCCAGATCTGCAACTCCTGACGTGGTGACCTTTCCTCTAGACGGCACTGTTTACTTGCTGGGAGAGCTAAGGTGAATGTCTTGGCTAATTAGCACGGTTCATTGAAGAAAGGGTGGGGCCGATGTGCTTCCGTCCTTACTTGGAGTGTGAGTGCCCTGGGGCTCTCAGAACAGTGCCACTGGCTGGGGGCCTGAAAACCACAGAGCTGAGTGCTCCCAGCTCTGGGGGTCAGAAGTCTGAGGTCGGGGGGCCAGGGCCGCACCCCCCTGAACCTGGTGGGGAGAATCCCGCCTGCTGTTTATCTCCTGGGGGGCCGGCAGTCCTGGGCGCTCCATCTCTGGCTCCCTCATCACACGGCCATCCGCCCATGTGTGTGTGTCTCCTCTCACATGGACTCGAGGCACGTCGTTCTCAGGGCCCACCCTGCTCCAGCACGACCTCCTCTTAACTGACTCCACCTTCATAGGCCCTTAAACCAAATAGTGGTCCCAGGCTGAGGTCCTGGGGGTGAGCAACACCTATTTTGAGGGACAGTTCAGCCCATAACACTTGTCCTGTGGACGGAACACAAATGAAACTCGTTCTCTAGCACTGCTGCTTAATTCCAGCCTCTTGGTGGACAGCTGGAGTCACGAGAGAGCAGGGTGGTGGCTCAGCGCAGCTCAGGGCACTGCCGGGAAAACCACTCAGGGAGGCCCTGGGGAGCCAGCGGGAGGAGAAGGGAGAGTCGTACGGGGGAGTGCGTTCAGGAGCTCTGAGAGGCGGCCAGTCCCTGCCTGCAGCTGGACGGTGCCTGCGCCATCTGCCATCCGCGAGGTGGCTCTGCTCCCCCCGCGGACATCGGACATTGCTCTGCAGCTTCGGTGCTGTGTCGCCCCGTTGATAACGCACTCTGCGCGGTCCCCTCGTAGAAGCCCCTTGTGTAGGGGCTCATGCCTCTATCTTAGAGAAGCACGTTTCTTCTCCCTTCGCCCTGACGGATTGTCTTATCTGTGCCCAGAAGAGGCCCCGGCTAAGGGAGATGCCATCAGACCTCCCACGGGGTGGTGAAAGTTTACTGTTGATTTTTAAGCCAGAATCAGTTTGCCTTAGTGAGGGCCGTGGATGGTGCAGGGGGAGGATTTATTGTGGTTCCTTAAACATTTATTAATTTTGCAGAGTTTTTCTTAGCTAACTTTAGTGGAATTTTGTTTCCGAATTATTCCTGGGTTGTAGGTCAGTAAAGCTACACTTCAGACTTCCAGCGGTTAAACACTTCGATTTTCCCAAGGGTTAAGAGAATTCCTGAAATGCACTGCCACCTCGGCTGCGGCAAGGTCGGAACTGAGCTGACTCATCCTCGTGTCCTCGGGGAGATGGTTCAGAACGGCTTCCTGTGCTGTGTTCTGGCAGGGTTCCTTCCCTTTTTCCTCTCGAATTCCACAGCTCTTACTGGATTTTGCATCACACAACTTGGGTGAACACTGTGTGGTCCAGACGCCAGGGCCCAGTGTCTGACATTGTCCCTGCCGCCCCATAGCTGCAGACGGAAGTCGCTTTCTTCCCACCAGAGACTTCTCACGGTTAGGATGTTCTGCCTGCACAGAAGGGTAGTTCTTCAAGGGGAGCACCTGGACCAGAAGCCTCACCTGGAACTTGTTGGAATGTGGCAACATTCTGGAATATTCTAGAGTGTTCTCAAATGCATAGCCTGCCCCTCCCTAGCCCTGCTGAGTCAGAGACCCAGCCCTCCAGGAGCTTCTGATTCACCTCAGGTTAGAGAACCGTTGGCCTAGAATATCTCAGTCTTTACTCTTTGATGTTATTTGGAACCTGTCACGGGACCTGTTTCCTAACAGTTAGCTTGGCTCCGCCCAGTGAGCATCACAGGTGCTGCTCCCTCAGTTTTACTCACTAAGATCTTCTTGGCTAAGTCTTTTCCTTGATAAGGTGTTTATTGATGACTCATGTGGGCGTGGCTGGGCGTTACTCAGGGAAAAATGATAAACAGCTAGGAAGTGTGAAAGGTCCTTGAAAATCATTGTATAGCCTAGAAGAGTTGGCAGCGGTGTCAGTGTTCCTTGTCTCCACAGAGAGCGTGTGGCGCGAGCGGCCTCACTCATGGGGGAGGGAGCTGGCTTGTGCTTTGTTGACCTGCGTCGTGAGGACGGACGGTTGTCCCCTGCTCGGTCCTGGGAAGCCCAGCTGCTGTCCTGGGCCAGGGCTGCTTCCCCAGGCGTGCAGCCATCCGCCCGGCCCCGGCCTTGGCCGGGGTCAGGGGTCCGGGTCCGGGTCGCGGGCCCTGGCGGGCTGCCGGCTCCTTGCACTCCGCTGCGCTCAGGGAGTTGAGATCTTGTAGGCACATGGTCGCTTTTGTCCATCAGTTCAGTGTCTGCGCCTACGTGAAAAGTTTTAAAACCAGAATTTTACGTTTTATGTTTTTTCGTTTTAGTGTAGGAAAAATGATGACGGGGACACAACTGTTGTTGTTGAAAAGGACCATTTTATGGACGATTTCTTCCATCAGGTAAGAGTCATTCAATGAAACCCAGACTCTCTGTCTTTAAACATCATTATGTTAACGTAGCTGTGCAGTGGTCATATTTGAAATAATACAGAAACTCATATTTTAAAAAGTTGGTGGTGGAATTACATGATGATGATACATGGTGCTACTGAAGTAGTCGTTACTGTTGAGCCGCTCTTCCTGCTCATTGCCTTGGGGAGCTGAAGCGGTGGCCTTGGATGTGGGGACAGCAGACTCGTCCCTCCGCCCCCACCCGCGAGGAGGAGGCGGACGCCCTCAGGCCGGGAGGTGCTTGGGGGGCGGTGTGCTGCCCATGGGCTCATGCTGCTCCCAGTGGCTGTTAGCCCTCCTCCCAGAGCAGGGTACCTCAGAGAGACCCTGCCACACCCTCTGATAGTTACAAGTTCTCACTTGTGCCCAGTGGTCACTTGGTCCTTGCAAGTGAGAGTCCTGGCAGCAGTGCTGCCCCGGCTGCTGGTCGTGCTGAGTCTGGAGTGCACCGTGCGCACAGCGAGGCCGCTCCCCGGAGCAGGGGTGAGGCCCCTGCCTTGATGGCGTGGATCAAAGAGGCTTCCCACGTTTCAGAACATCGGACCCTCGGTCAGATCGGACTTCTCTCCTGGAGGGCTCACACGTGAGCAGAAATGTACCTGAGGAAGCTCCTCCATGTGGCCGTCGGTCAGCGGGCCTTTCTCTGAGCCGTCAGCACAGAGGCCACTGCCCTGGACCTGCGTCCTCGGATCTGCCCTCATACCTGTCGGTTCTCTGGGCTTCACCACGAGGCTTTTCCCTCTCCCTCTTAGCTCCCCAGGGCTGTTTCTGGGCTGCCATCATGCTTAAATTATCTTTTCTTTTTTAATTGAAGTGTAGTTGATTTACAGTGGTAGTTTCAGGTGTACAACAAAGTGGTTCAGTTACACATATACATACAGTTTTTTTTTCAGATTCTTTTCTATTATATGTTATTACAAGAAATTGAATACAGTTCCATTTACATTCTTAAACCTAAGGAATAGTTGATCAAATTTTGTGTAATATCAAATTTTTGAAATTGAGTCAGAGAACAAGTATTTTGATTATTAAATATGAAGAAAAGAAACGCTTTTGGTATAATTTTTTAATGATGAAAACTTTACTTGCAGGGTTTGTTTTGATTGTGCTGAATCTAGTCTCATAGTTTCAACAGACTCTTAAATCCATTGACAGCCTAAACTGGACTGTCAGCACATGGGTTTGAAAGTATGAAATATGTTAATAAAATACGGCATTTGATTCTAACTTAAGTTCGGTTTCATGTGTTAAATAGTTGATTTAGTTTGGGGTTGATTTCTGTGAAATGGCTTCTTAGACAAACAGAAGCAAGTGTTATTTGCTAATACAAACTCTTCCAGAAAATGGCATTCAGAGCTTAAATATCACATAGAACTTTGCAGAAAGATACGTGTGTTGCTCATGACCCGTGTTTGGTTAAGACAAATAGTGCTCTGATGGGCGGCCAGGGAGTCTCCTTTTTGTGACGGTGACGTGAGGTGGACATAAAGGGCGGTTGCGGTGGCCCTTCCCTCCTGGTGCTGAGCTGGGCCAGCAGTCTCCTCCTTGGGGCCACACGGAGGCTTCTGCTGCAGAGGTGCCACGGTGGTGTGTGACACAGAACCCTCCAAGAGGTAAAACAGTATCTTTTCTACTTTGAGACAGGTGCGTACCACTGATTTACTTCAGAAATGGTGCCTTAAAGGTGGCTAATTGAAACGTAGATCTGTGCACTAAAACCAAAAAGTCATTATTTGTGTTTAAGCTGTCACGGTAAAATCACAAAAAATTTAAAAGAATCAGTTTTAATTTTGTGTTTTTTTCCATGATTAATAAAATTAAATTATAAGTTTGTGAAGTTCTATACAAATTGTAAGTGGAAGTAGCGCCCAGGCCTGATAAAATAGCCATGAAAGCAGAATTCTGTGTTAGACTCTCCTCTGATAACATGGGTTTTCAAAACGTGCCCTGGGGCCCCAAGACCCTTCTGCAGAGTTCGTGTGGCCAAAACCACTTTCCTAATAATGCCAGGACGTTTGCCTCCCCCACCATCCCCTCTCCGGTGGCCGGTAGCAGAGCATCCTAGAGGCCACATGCGGTGTGACAGCACAGCAGGCCGAACGCAGAAGCAGACGTCAGAATCAGGACGCCCTCCGTTTGCTGGGAAGTGCAGATCACTGCTCTTCCTTTACTGACGTTTGGGGAAAATACATTATTCATCTTAGCACGCGTCTTAGTTTCCCACGGCTGCTGATAGCTTCCCCCGCACGCAGTGGCTTCACACAGCACGCATTTCTGCCTTACAGCCTGGAGGTCAGAAGCCAGAAGGGAGCCGCGAGGGCCCACGTCCAGGTGTGCACAGGGCTGAGCTCCCTCTCCAGGCTCTGGGGGACGTGTTTCCAGCTTCCAGAGGCGCCCGCGTTCCTGCCACGTGGCCCCTCTCTCTCCCTGAAGCACACTGCTGTGGCCTTTGCTGGTCTGATCACACCTCTTTTTTCAAAATTTGATCCTGTTGCCTCCATTTTAGAAGAACCCTTTTGGTTACCTTAGAACAGCCCAGAGAGTCCAAGGTAACACCAATCCAGACTAATCACACCTGAAAGCCCCTTTGCCCTGCAAGGTCACGGTCACAGGATTCGGGTGTGGGCGTATACCACATGCGCAGTGGGCTTGTAGTTACTGTTTTAACTGAATGAATGCACATTGAAGCTGCTTCTCTGCGGTGGCAGTTACCTGTGGAGAGCTGCGGCCTACAGGAGCCAGAGCTCTCTGGGGCCTTCGGTGACTTTCCAGGACAGAGGTCCCGAGACCACATCCGTGGGCTGCGCTTGGCGGTAGGGCTCCTCACGGCTGTGTCCCGCCACGGTGTCCTTCCCCGTGGTTGGGAAGTGACGTGGAAGGTGCACACAGGGGTGGCCGTGCTCCCGCTCCTGTCCTCACCTGCTCTGTTTTCTCACCTCTCCGCTCCACAGGTGATGCCTTTTTTCAGTTTCCTGTTTAGACGTCCCAGTGTTTCTTCATGTAAATGTTAACATCTGCACGTTATTCTGTGCTTACCTTGACCTCTTTCCTGCATCATTGCTAATGCGTATATGTTTTGTTCTGCACTTCGTGGGTTTGTTTTTTTTCTTTCTCTCTTTCTTTCTTTTGGTTTATTATTCGCTTGTTTTTAACTTAGTATAGATCCTGAAGACCTTTTCATACCTCTGTGTTAGTTCCATAATGTAACCTAACAAGTCCCCCGTTAGTGGGCTTTGGGGTTTCCCTAATCTCTTAAATGTGGAAGTTGTGCTTAATTCCCAAGGGCTGCACAAACTTAGTAGTTGAAAACAGCACAGATTTATTCTCTTCGTTTCTGGAGACCAGAGGTCCAGACTGGTTTCACTGGGGTGAGATCAAGGGGCCAGCAGGGTCCCAGGCCCGGAGGCCTGAGGGGAGAATCCATTTCCCAGCGTCTCCAGCCCTGGCGCTGCACCCTTGGCTAGTGGTCCCTGCCTCCGTCTCCCAGGCCAGCAGTGTCACCTCTTGCTTCCCCGGTTGTGTGCCTTCTTCTGTAGCCACGTCTCCCCCTGCTTCTCTCTCCTGAGAACCCTTGTGATTGTATCGAGGGCCCACCTGGGGAGTCCGGGCTGGCCCGTGCCCTCATCCCGCAGGCCTTCCTCTAGTCACACCTGCAGTTTCTTTTGCCGTGTAAGGGAACAGTCACCGGTGCTGGGGATGAGGACCTGGACATCTGGTGACGGTATTCAGCCCACCACAGAGGTTTCTGAAGATCATGTTACGAATCCACCTGGACAAACCTTGCTAATGAGTGCATTACATTTGTAAACAAGTATTGAATCATTTAGACTATCAGAGGCAAAAAATAATGAGAAAGCTTGGCCGTGCCAGCTGTGAAACCTGCTCTCAGAGAATGTTCTTGCCAGCGTGTTGTGCCGGGCGAGCTCCCCTGCTGTCTGCGCGGGGCACCGCAGGGGCGTTGGGTGCTTGGAGTTGCCGTCAGCTGCAGTGATGCTGCGTCTCGGCTGTAAACCTTTCCACAGCCTCGTGGGTTTTGCAGGTGAATGTTGGTTGATGTTGCCTTGGTCATAAAGGTAGATGTTTTAATGTGATACATTTCCCATTATTTTTTAAATTAAACAGATGGGAAAAGGTTATTTCTTTATGTGATAATCATTCCTTTACTTCCCTCCTTTCTCCTTCCCTTTTTAGGTAACAAAAAGTGGTAGCAGATTTGAACTTGCCACCATGGTGATGGCTTTCTGTCTCTCCTAGGTTGAGGAGATCAGAAGCAGCATAGCTAAAATAGCTCAGCATGTTGAAGACGTAAAGAAAAACCACAGTGTCATCCTCTCTGCACCAAACCCAGAAGGAAGTAAGTCGTTGGTTTTGAAAAGAAGTGTGTCTGTCT